ACTGTACGCTCTAACACTATCTCTTGGTGATCGTATTTCATAATATAATCTGTAATAATTGAGTTTGCTGGGGTCACTGAGATCGGAGTCGTTGAATTGCCATTACGAGAATGCTGACTGCAAGAAAGAGTTTGGGCGCATTCATACTGGATGAAGAGGGTTGGAATGTTGCTGTCCTGGATACGGGAATTATTTGTTACTAACTAGCTTTATATATATATATAAGTTTAGCTTGTGTGGACATTTGCAGATTGATTAGGCGATAGATTAAAACCATATTTATAAAAAATGGAAAAAACGAAAAAGAAAGAAAGGCTGAACTAGATAACACTAACTAACCTACATTACTAGCAAACGGAACAACGTACATGTATTATTCGTAGAGCACGTCCATTTTCCAAGACGGGAAAGATTAATATTATGTGGATTGTTGGCGGGAGTTCTGGTGTGGTTTGCCCCTTCATTCCTCCTATCAATCATCTATTGTCTTTATCTCTCCTTCCGTTTTGTGTTTGTAACACTTTTTTACTCTTCGGCACTCATGACCTAATTGTGTTGCAAGTGCCGTGAAACTTTTACTAATATATATTTTTTAAAAAGGTTAATACTTTTACGCAAACGTTTCCACCGGTGTGTGTGGTGTATAACTCTGCCGTGACACACAAAAGGCATGAGTTCGGATCTTGCATGGTAAAGTTATTGTATCAAATATCTGTCTGTCTTCTGGGATGGTGTGTCAAACTTAACCCAAGATGGCTGGCAGGAAAGGTCAAAGTAAGTAGCCCGCCTCCAAAATAATGTAAATTGTATCGAAAGAGGTGTACAACATTTACTTACAATTAATTTAGATCAAGAGTTAGTTATAAAAGCAATAAATGTTTCCATGTTGGAACAGGCTGAACGGATTATGCCTCTCCGCGGAGTGAACATGATGACAGAAAATCTCGTGACACCGTGCTGTGTAAGTGTATTGCCCAATTAGATGCTGATGCATGTGTGTGACACAGAAGTGATAGCGCTGAAGTTTAGCCCAGTCGTATGAGGAAGAAAGGAGATTGAAATTTTTTCTTAAAGTAAATATCACAGGACTACGATATAACTTGTAGGCTGTTTCACCGTGAGAGCGCTTTTAGCTCCTACTTGGCTGTCCTTGACATTCCTTCACCCCCCC